CCGGCAGCAAAGCCTGCGGGCAGTTCCGCAAACTGTGCGGCAGAGATCCTTGAGCTCCAGTCCTGCCTGTCGCCTACTAGCTCGGTGGTTTGGGGCGAGTGATTTCAGCCACTCCAAGCCTCTGCTCCACAATCTGTGAAACAGGTGCAATAAAAATGCCGACCTTCGTAAGGTTGACTGGGAATTAAAGGAAATAACTCATGCAAAGCACTTGCTAAAAATAAGGACACGGTAAGTGATTATTATTATAATACCACTTCAGAGTTGTAAATGCTTTTATTTTCTCTTCTCTCTCTCTCATACACAGAGTACCTACAACATAATTTTATAATTCAGACAGCACTTCTTAATTCTGTAAGAGCAGAAAGGACACAAGCAGAAAGAAGGGGAAGGAGCAGGGAGTTAAGAAATCACGAAGGACCAAATATTAAGTTTGTAAGAATCTGAACAATTTACCTAAAAGTCATAAAGCCTGTGCAAACTGAAGGAACCTGAGATAAAGATAAGGAATAAGTACATAACTAGAGTATGTTTCGAAGAGGGAAGAGCTATGGAAAAAATCATGGTAAGGAGATTAGGGATGTCTCATGAGGGTACAACCTGAAATGGAGTGGCCAGGGAGGCCTCAATGAAAGGTGACTTTAAGCAATGATGTGAAGTAGGTGAGGGGGTTAGTCATGGGGACAAGGGGTGAAGAGCACTGCAAACACAGGGAACAGTCTGTGCAAAGGCCTCAGGAAGGAGCCCGCGTGGCAAGAACAAGGGGCTGCAGCAGAAGCCTTCCTCAGAGAGGCCAGGTGGACCATGTATGTGACACTCATCTAGTGCTTCATCGGGGTCTTTAAGGACATCTTCCTTCAGGAGATGTGGGGAAAACGGCAGTAGCTGCATAGTTTGGGACCTGAAGAATCAGTGATGACCGTGGAAGAGGGACGGCAGGAGCGGTATCTATGCAGGGCCCACCGTGCTCAGCACTTTTATCAATCACAAAAAGACATGGAGGGCCTGGCTCTTCAACTTTACATAGCTCGCTACAGCGTACTGGTCACCAGAATTAAGCTTCAAAACCATCCCCAAACGACTGGCTGATGCTGCCACACTTCACAGGTAAGAAGTAGAAAACTTTTCACAAGTGCAGGGAGGAATCAGACCAATTTTGAAGTAACAGTTCATGCCCCAGGGGACAAGATATGGTAAGAGCCAAGAATGTGAGTAAATTACCTAAAGCAGAGACAGGTTATAAAGATGGCCTTGCATTCAGAGAAGAGTGCGCCACGTGGGTGGGAGACTGCGGGACGTGGAGCTGAGTTCCAGGTCTCCGGGGGTCCAATATGGTCAGCGGACAGGACTATGACTAAGAGGAGACTGACAGTGAAACGGAGTGGGTCAAAAGACTGGGGGAAACGAGCCTGGAGCAGAGCTCTGGAGGAAGCAGCACTTCTTTGACCCTCTGCCATCTGAGGAACAGGAAGTGCAAACAAGTGCATTCCGCGAGTCTCAGACCAGACACAGACAGGAACCGAGGGAGGGAACCATGGGAGACAGCATTCAGCTTCATCTGAGGAAGCTCCCTGTAAAACTTATAACTGCTCTGGCATGGGACAGGCTGCTTCAGTCATCCACCACCCTTAACACGTTCCTGGCCACTGCACCGGGAGTTTACAGTACATCCTCATGACACGCTCTACACTTGAACACATTAAAGACATCATACAGCACTTCAGTCTCCACAGCAAGTCCCCGTGCGGTATGGCCACCGCAACACTGGGGCAATGTTCTCAAACAGCGAAATTCCACTTCTGGTGCTGCTGCTGTTTCAATCACAAATCACAGCTCAGTTCCCAGTCCCGGCCCGCCTCCTTCCCGTCCCTTCCCCTCCCCGCCCAGCCCACGCCCGCACCTCCCCCTCACCGGGCAACGCCAGGACCTGGGAGGAAGAGCCCTCTGCAGCGGGAGGAGCAAGGCCCGGCCATCCAGTCACTCTGGCAGCCAGAGAATCAAGCCCCGCCACTTGGCACAGCGGTTCCGGCGGCAGCGCGGTGCCGGCCAAGCACTGCTCCACAGCGCCCCCCTGTGGAAGGGCCGAGGGCGAGAAGCAACGGGCGGGGAGCACCAGAGGGCCCTCCACACCGTGGGAGGTGACTAAATTATACTAGAAACGTTTGCATCACTCACTTTCTAATCTCATGAAATTTGAACACTTTAAAATAAAATGTCAGTAAAAGCATCATACTTCTCTTATCCCAATCAGTGTGACAAAAGGCCTAACTAATCCTATAACATCAGGGAGAAATTAGACAGTGTGTCCCAGACTACAGCGCCTAAGGTGGAAAGTGGGGATCTGGATGCAGGTTCTCTACCCCTGTTTTCAGAGGAGGTTACCCTAAATGAGCTCTAAATCCTTTCCCGAAGTTCACCATCACGACCACCTGAGACCTTCCCATGCTAGAGGGCAGGCCCCTGCTATCAACAAGCGGTGACCCCGGGGGCCTGACAGGTGGATGCTGGGGTGCTCCTTTGAGCAGCTTTGAGTGCCACTTCCAGTGGGGAAGATGGCTAGCACCAAGTGCTCTGTTCCCAGTTCCCTAGCAACCAAGCTATCCAGGGAGCAGGGCACTGGAGGCACCTGCTCAGTGCTCTGACCTGTGTCTGCGGCAACAACCAGGTACCCCACCTCCTTCCCTGCACACTTGGGCCCAGCTGTGTCAGCTAGCCCAGAATGCACCAAAGAACCCTGTGCATTGCAAGTATCGTCAGTAAGAATGCAACTTGGACCTAAATATTTATTTCTTACAATATTCCCAGATTAGACCTATCAAAAAGAAGTTTCCTGCCATGACTTCCAAAAAGAGAACTCAAATGCAAACTGTGGCCTCCTTCCTCCTTCCTTTCCTCTCCGCTGGGGTGACACAAGATCACCTCCTTTCATGCTGCCAAAGCGTAGTCTCCCCGCCTGTTTTACCCTGGGCTTGTCCAGAGAAGCAAGCATTCGCCAGCACTGACTAACCTTCTGACTCAGGTCTCTCAGACCCTGACGGGAAGATACCAGTGCCTGTCCAGAAACCTCACGCTTCCGGATTCCAGAGACGGGAAAAGGGCGGCACCAGGGCGGGGCCTGCAGAGACCACCAGCATCTCCTCAGGGGCCAGAGCTCCAACCAGGAGCTGTGCAGTTTACAAGCCTGGTGTTTTCTATAGCCACGACCCTAGCAGATCCCTGTGGCCTAGAATTTTAAAAAAAGTTTAAGGAAGGGGATTAGGTTACACAATCTGGCTGTTGGACATTAGTAGGCAGTGTACAACATGAAAATTAAACCTTTAAAACAAAACTTTCTAAACTGATACGAACTGAAATAACTCAGTTTACTCAAAAATTTTTTTAAATCTCACTGAATTTATTATAAACCCAGCACTCCTTTACATTGCTGCTGCTGGGAGACAATGGCATAGGAAGCTAAATATCAGTGCTCCAATCTCAACAATGGAAACAAAAATAATGTTAGTTTACATCTGGTGTGCCTTCAGGTTTTCAAAGTACTGTCACATTTATAATTTAATGTACTTCCGTGAGATAGGAAAAGCCAACACTACTATAACCCTTCTACAACTTAAGTGAAGTTACATGATTTACTTCACAAAGATAGCTGAGCCCAAACCAGGCTCTTGTTTAATTGGGCAGAGGATTCATTATTCAAATTAAATACTAAGAACTCTGGGGAAGGGAGGCAGGGAGAGATGAAGAAACGAGGGGGAGGGGGAACAGGAGGGGAGGGTTCCTCCAACAGCCCTCCTCCCTCAAGACAGATGCAGGGAACCTAGTCTGAAAACTCTTGGATTAGCCTGTGCTGCTTCCTGGGAGACACGCAGAGGTGTGTCGAGGGACAAGAGTGAATCTACACTATGTGCAATCTGAGGCGTGCAAGTACTCGTTGAAGGTCTACTGTTACACTTTGCTGATTTTTAAGGAAACAATTTCTGATTGAGAAATATTAAGGACAGTAAATATCTACTATTGAAAGTTTATGATATCACTGGTCAGAGAAAAATCTTAATTTTGGTCAGAAAAACTGCATTTAATCTCCATTTTTACATTGTAACTCAACATCAAAAGGCCTAAAGACAAACATGAGCGCGTCCCACATGGGCATACCGCGTCTCACCGTGCTTACTACTGTGTTTCGCAGATACTGCTTTTTTTTTTGTTAACAAATTGAAAGTTTGTGGCAACCCTGTATTGTCACATGATGGTTAGCATTATTTTCGGCAATAAAGTTTATTTAAATTAAGGTATATACATCTTTTTTAGACATAATGCTATTGCACACTTAAAAGACTACATTATAGTGCCTATACTACAGTGTAAACATAACTTTTACGTGCACTAGGAAACAAAAAAAATTCATGTGGTCTGCTTTATTGCGATACTCTCTTTACCGTGGTGGTTTTGGAACCCAAACCTGCAATATCTCTTAAGTCTGTCCGTATTTCTTTGGAGGGCACAAGGATGAGCGAGCACAAGACAGTCCTCCTGTGACACCAGACTGAGTGACAGCAATTGACAAGGCACAGAGCATCACAAGTGTGACCAGTGGGATGGGGTACCTCTAACACTGCACCGTGCTAAGGCAGGGTGTAAAGCGACCCTTGCAGAGGGGGAAAACAGACAAGCTTGGGAACACAGTGGGAAGGGATGAGGGAAGTGGGGGCATCAGCCCGAGGTCCTTAACATTCCCATGAATGAGGTAGGGCTGAGCAGTCACAAGAGCTCAGCAGAGGTGCCATTTGTAACACGCAGCGTCGTACACAGTGCTGTAAGCTGCTGAGCCCTGTGACAGGTTTCCCTGCAATGTAGGATCCTCTTGAAACAGTGCCAGGCATTGCCACGTCAGCCTCTTACCCGGGGAGCTTTAACATCAGGGGATGATTTTGACCTGAAATCTCATTTCACCTCTTCTTCTACAAATGCACTTTTTCTAGTTTTATGTCGGAGGCAGGCCTCACCTTCATGTCTGCCAGGAGACTCGCACGCTTTCTGTGGGGTGGCCACGCGAAGGAAGATCTGCTGCCTCCACGAGTGTCTCCGTGTCTTCACAGGGGTCCCACTGGCATCACTGAGATGGTTGGCTTTGGACTCAAAGTCCCTACAATTACAAGATAATTGACTTATGATTGGTGGGGAGATATAAACAGGTATTTTAGCTTGACTTACTGGTTTTTTTTTTTTAACAAAGCACTAAATGATATATTACCTTTGTACAAGTGAACAATTAGATAATCATAGACAATAAGCATGATCATATTGGGTCAGGTCAACACTTCTATATGACTGACTTCTTGCAGAATGCTTTTTATAAAAAAAGCAAGTTTACACGTCCTTAATTTATTTCTATTGTAAAAGATATTAAAAAATATGCTCCGCGGATCTTGGCTTTCAATTGGGCCTCCCTTGGTGCCACTTCAGGAAAGAGAAACTGCCTGCAGGAGGCGCCACAATTTCCCCTAGTCGATGGGTAGGGAGATTTTCTTAGCATAGGCCTGTGTCTCCAAGGATCACCGCATGAAATGAAAAAAGTTAAATTATACAGAACCAGCAAAAGCAATAATTATGCAGTCACTTGATATGATTTTAACACCTGTATGTTTTAAACTACAAAACAAAGTATAGTTTTCAATATACATAAAAACAATCTAGTCACTAATTTTCTTCCTATTCACAGGACAACTTGGGGAAGCCCTTGTGAGCTACACCCGAGTGTCTACCTGCAACTAGACAGTCACCTGAACTTACAGATCAGACATCCTGACTGATTTACTGACAGCCAAACATGCTCACTATCCAGAAACACTTCTAATCAATTAGATGGGTAAGACTTTCTCTAATTTGCTGAAAATAACAACACATTAGTAAACTCATCCCAGTCAAAACTAGATTACAAGTTGACTCCACATTTTTAAAAAAATCACATCCAGTAAGAAAAACTTCTAAGAAAGAAGATACAATAGGTCTAGCGTAAATGATTTTTCAAACGGCAAAAGAACAGCTGAAAAATCCCTATGTGTCCAACAGTCAGCACTTGTACCCAGACTTGATATATCTAAATCAAACCCTACCTTTTTGTGTTCATAAAGTCAGAGGTGTTATTTTCATCTACAGGAGCCAGAAATTTTAGAAAATTTGGCACAGAGGAAGAAGAATGAAGTTTTTTCCGCAGGGCATTACGGTAGGAGATGCTAAGAGTTTGGTTGAAAAAAGAGTTTAAGATAAAGAAACACAAACAGACAAAGTATAAAACATAAGCTTCAAAATAAAAAACATTTTTATAGTTCTAATGCTAAGAAAATTAAAGCAGGTAAGAAAAACAGCTTACAAATGACATTTAACTTTCACTTTCAGTCAATAAAATTCTATTACTTTAAATGAATGGAATCAATGAATTAATGAATAAACATCAGTCCATTCAGTTATGCAAGATGAATAAATTCTAAAGATCTGCTGTGCAACATTGTGCCTACCGTTAACAGTACTGTGCCTAGAGTTAGTAATACTGCAAACACGTTAACAATGTGTTAAGAGAATAGATCTCATGTTAAGCATTCTTACAGAGTAAAATAAAAACAATCAGTCCATCATCCAAAATGACTCCTTCCAAACTGGAAATACAATTTTCCTAAATTAACGAGGAAGTTTCTAATACAACACAAATTGCAATGTATGTGATCAAGCACAGTCTGTGTGTGTGTGCACGCATGTGTGTGTACTAGGGCAGGGAAATGTGAAAGGATGTGAAAGACGTGTTTTATATAAAACACATCTTGCCGTTAAGACTGTTTTCATAATAATTTTGAGGAAATCAATCGATAGAAAAATTAAGTAGATTCAAATGATAGACTGACAATAACAAAACCCAAACCAGACAGACACACAAGCGGTGGCCCCGGGCTCCTGGCACGAACATCAGCACACCCTCTGCGTGAACGTGCCGGGAAGACAGACGACACTGAACTTGCCATGCGGGTGGCTCACCTCTTGGGCACTGCATTCCCACTCTGTTCTCCACTGGAGTTATGTTTGAGGTACTTAAAGAAATTGGGCGAGGAGGCAGAGGGGTTAAGACGAGGTGGAGGAGCAGGAGCTGAAGACTGACCTGAGCGACTTTTAGACTCGCCAACAGGTGGATGATTCCCACTAAACAGCAATTAGAAAGAAAGCAGGGGGATTAGAGGGAGGGGAGGGAACCACGCAGGAAAAATGGAGGGAACAGGAAGCCAGGCATTGAACAGGAACTGCCAGAGTGGGGGCTGCTCTCCACATCTCTTCTGCACACCAACTCCCGGGCACAGGCAATTTGCAGTAAAGAAAGGCCTATGGAAGGTCATGCTTGATCACTTCCCACATGTCTATGCACCCAACAGACCTGTTTCCTCTATTCCCTTTTTAGGACCTGACGGGAAAAAAAATTTTTTTTAATTAAAACAAAAGCAAAGGAAAGCAAAACAAAATTCAGAGTTTTAAAAATACATCTCTCTTTAAACTGAACAATAACCTGCTTCTAACATCAAGTCTCATTTCCTGTGCATAAATGAGCAGAGAGGTCACGAGGGGATGCAAGGCCAAAGAGGTAAGCTGGGGAGGGAGGGCGGAGGGCAGGACGTTTCCACGTCCCCTCATCACCTACATCCGGCACGACCTTTAGGAAGCTGCATTCTTAGGGGAGAAGGGAACCGGGCTGTCAGGGATTCTAATTTCCTACCATCCTTAGCTAATGCAAAACAGCAGGCTTATTAGCAAGACGGCTAGGAATCTCCAGACAGGAAGGTCTCCATCATCACTAAAGTGCCGGGAAAAGAGGGGCGGGAGCACAGCGGAGGGGCGGAATAAAAGAAGCGTGTGCACAGGGTTCTAGAAAACATGACGAGAATCCCACAAAGCCTCAACCTATCCTGGTCTCTAAAATGTCGTATGACTGAATATTAGCTTCTTAAGTGGGTTCTCCTCTGGGATCACAGTTATCCAGCCGAATTCCAAAGAACCGCCATAACTATCTTCCAGGCTGACTGAAGACAAGGCTGAGAGGCTCCACCACACTGTCTGCGAGCGCAGACACCGTCCCCTGTCCACCAGCAGCATCGCAGACGCCCCCGTGTGGACGCCCCTCATCGGTGCAGAACCGGCTCCGACGCGCGCCCCGTACTCCAGGTGTCACCGAAAGAGGGAGGAAGGGCTGCACGCAGGCAGGGCCTGCTTCGTGTTTATAAGGCAACGGCTTTGAAAAGACGTTTAAAGTCATTTTTAACTATATCTCTGTGCCCATTCATGCTCTCTGACACCTGGGCTCAAATTAATTGCCAAGAGACCCTGGAAGGAAGCCTCTGTAGTGCTTACCCAGCTCCAGGAAACTCGCTAGAGCCCGTTATTAAAGTTAGTCAATCTTGTCGGGAGGCTATAGAATCCTCACACTGCAGGGGACTTCAGAGACTGTCCACTCCAACGGCGACGGGCAGCGACTTGCCCGGCCCGGCACAGAGCAGGATGGGGCCCCAGGCTGTGATCCCGCCCAGGCGGCCCGACGCCGCATACTTGCTCGGGACCCATCGCCACCCCGCCGTCCCGGCCTCCAAATGAGCAGCCCCCGCCATGGCTGCTTCCTCGAGGCCAGCAGTCACCGGCCCTCACACTGCGAGAGGAGCCCCGCTGTGCCCCGCCGGCCTGCTCCACTTGACCTGCTCCCTCACGGTCCCTGCAATGGCGCAAGTCCGAGCATCTCTGACAGCTACACGGCCCCAGGGGAGGAAGTGGCGGGAACAGGCACCAGTGCGGGGGTTATCTTTTAAGCCAAGAGTGAAAGTTGACCTAGGCTTCTCTCTGACCCCATCAGCACGGCTGAGCCGCACGTACCTGGTCAGGAACAGGTAAGCCCCAGCCATTTATACAAAAATCTACGTTTTAAACAAATCTTACTTCCGTTCATGAGGCGTCTCTGTGCTCACTGAGTGATACCTCACAAGTTTCCTCTGCGAGACCCCTGGGGACCCCTTGGCAGGCTCCGGGGGCTCCTGGCACTCCACTGGGACGTGGCTCAGGGTGTTGGCACGCCTTCTGAAGCCCCGCTGGGGTGACAGCGGGGCGAGCTCTTCCGCGGGGTGGTCCTCTGGGTCACTGGACAGGTCATCCGAGGAGCCGAGGAGCCTGAAGGAGCTCTCGGAGACAGGCAAGGCCTCCTTCTCACACACAGACGGCTCCTGGCAGCAGACAGACAGCACATCAGACACATCACAGGGCACTTGTGAGATTCATAACTCCAATTCCAGCGGCAGGAAAACATTTCAGTATGCATATCTTCTGATTATAAACGCCGTCTAGAAGCCACCAAAAGTGCAATGCAGTAAAGGCCCATTAAATGCCTGCTGTTAGAGACAAACACTTGTTTGCAGGACAAATGGGGAAACTACCAAACGCAGGTGTGAAGGCCGTAAATTACAGCTTGCAACTGTCCCAAGCAAAGCTGAAATAGTTCTCTGTCTAGAAGACAGAACTCTTTACTGTTGCTTATAAGCAGACAGTTGTGTAACCTGTCCGCACCGTTTAAACAAATCAAGTTCTTTATCTCAGCCAAGTGGGTTCATACATGTCATACCCATATTTTAAGACTCTCTCGGAACTGGACCTAATGTTAAGATTTAACCTGGTAATCCTGAGGGTTAAAAATTATATCCTGTATTATTCTTAGATATGGAAAAATCTCTCTAAGCACTTCTTGCCGTGGTTCAGGGCAAATCTCTCAACTTCTCCCTACACTTTAAGTTCCTCATCTGTAAAAGGGCGCAGTGAAAATTTATCTCACTGGGTGTCGGAATTAAGCAAGATAATACAACCATAAGTACCCGTTCACTTAAAATGTTATGCAAATGTAAGTTATTATTTATTAGGTACTCAGTGAATTTACTGAGTGGGTACGCAAACACTTGTTGAGAACCATGACAATATCTTCACACTGCAGGCTTGCCAGATGCATACTTTTTCAAGGGAATGAACTGCCACCACTCACACCTAGTGCTGCACGCCCAAGACATGGCTGGGGGCCAATATATTTTCCTCAAATCAAACAACATAAAATAAGACGAAGTGTGCCAGCTTGTCCCTACTAGAACTGCTAGAAGGGATAAATAAATCAACACGAAAAGCGCAAAAAAGAAACGAATGCATCTAATGGTGGACTGGAGAATCTAAATTCTTCTTGTTCACCTGCCCCCGCAGTTGAGTGTCTTTTAGATGATGGGTATTAAGGATTTTAAGAAATTAAATTTATGTTTATTGAGGAGAGAGATTATACAAACTTAATTTTTTAGTAATCAGATTTAAAAGGCTTAATTCCCAAAACATTATGAAACGTTAATTACTTTAAACATAACTTCAATTTTTCATTCTTCAAGACTCTACAGTTGCAAAGATTCTTTTAATTTAAGGGTTTAAAAATGTGTCTAAGACAATACATCAAGCAATGGCCATCATGCAAGCCTGCTCATCTCAACTCTCATTAACCCCTCCAAATTACATGGACCAGCTCACCCTTTGCTTAACCTTACACCTGAAAGGGCCACTCAGATGCTCAGCTTCTTTGCTTCTAGACAATCCATTTATTAGAAGAGATTCAATTACATAAAAGCACATCTTTACAACAGTTTCTTAATCTCAGGATGAAAAAATATGTAAAGAAGTGCAGACAGCCACACATACAATACACATAGGTAACTTTTGAAAAGCTGTATTTCTCCCAGAATTACCCTAGAAATTCAAGCTATGTGTATATTCCCAGATCTGTGTTTTGAAGAAGAATAAAAAAACAAGCAATAAGACTTTCTGGGAAAGTCACTTGAGTGATATGAATTTCTTCACAGTATGTTTATTTGAACTAATCTGGAACACCTTTTTCCCTGTCCACTTCCACGGTACAATTCCTACAGTTACCCCAAGATTTAATTCAGAAGCGATACTGCCCCCTACAACCCCGCCAGCTTTTTCTGGTCCCACTGACCAAAAATATCATCCCTCCCCGGACTCCTGTGACCACTGAGCTACCACCAGCTCTTACTTGAACTCTCAGGCGCACAGCACTCACCACTCAATGCTGTGTATCTGTCGCCTCCTTCCTACCAGATGAGCTCCCAGAGGGGAGGGGCTCTGTCTTATTCAGCTATATCCAGAGCATAAACAAACCATAGTGCTTCCACACTTCAAATGAATTGTGGGCAGAATCAGTATGTGGGCAACGGAGCACAGATGACACTACATCCCACAAGATTCTAACTTAGAAAATCACATGCAGAAGGTGGGTGTGTCTAGGGTCTTGCTCCCCCAAGTGGGTCAGCATTTTAGGCCTCACCCCAGGCCTATTGAATCAGAATCTGCATTTTAACCAGACCCCACTAAAGATGCACCTTAGAATTTGAAAAAGCACTCCACTAAGGCAGTGTTTCTCAAACTATAGACTCTAACACATTAGTAGGTAGTAGTATCAATTTTGTGGTCTTTTTCACTAAACTTTTCAAAACAGAATAGAAAAAACCAGTATGTACCACATATTGTTTACAGTAAATTCTGTTTTGTGAAATTTTATGTGTGAGTGTGTATGTTTGTCTGTGAACCATTTCGCATTGTTAAATGTGTAAATTACTGTCGCTTATGGTCTAAAAACTTTGAAAGCCACATGCCCCAGAGGGAGCTCAAAAGAACTTAAGATTCCTGTAGTAGGGAGCTGGCTTTCACAAAAACTCCCCTCTCTTCCATCTGAGGGCATTCTGGTCGCAGAAGGAAAGCTGACTGTCCCAGCACAAAATACAAAATCCACTTTTCTGGTAGTTTCTGGTGGTTAAAAAGTTCAACTAACTAGGTTTAAATACGCTTGTATGTCTAGAAAGCAAGAAATTAAAACAAGGACATAGATACAGGTTTGTCACCAAAGAGAACTGCCGACTTGCTCGCTGTCACAAAGCTGTGCCCATTGGTGACAGACTGAGGGCGGAGGCTTCACTGCTTATTTATAAAAATAGTAATGTTTAATTATAATCATAGAGCCAGCCAGAGGATAAAGTAAGTTTCAGGAATTTACCCTACATACTTCTCAGAATTCACAAACCCAATTTTGAGGTTTCTCTAAATTATTTTTAATATTTCATTTAGATTTCATTGGAAAATCGATTTAAGAAATCCATTGACTGCATTGTGCTAAATTAGATCTCAGTGGTCTAAAACTGCAATTTTGTTCCTTTGCTTATGGGATAGCATCTGCTTTGGTAGGTAAACCTTTTTTCTTGGAACAGAACTGCATGACCAGCCCTCCACCTGCACCTGGAGGTCTGGAAGCACCAAACTTTTCATGATTGGAGATACGAGTTTCTTTTGTTCCCCTTCACAGACCCTGTACATAGGGGACGAGGAAGACCCATGTGCTGGTTTCTTCAGGGGGTCACTTAAAAAGAAATGTGCTTACCTTACTGGTGTTACTTAATGTGCTAGACGCAGAGCTGTCCAAGTCCAGATTGGCGGAGTGCTCCTGCAGGCCTTTGGCTTTATTACCCTGCATAAAGAAAGGCAGTTACGACCCCTGAGGTTTTGCAAAGGAAGCGACCTGATCTGTTTAAATAAGCTCAGGAAAAATGCATTTACTGAGAAACACTGTTGAGTGCATATGTGCATTGAGACAATCATATTCTTTTAAGCCAACCTGAACCTGAATGTTTCAAAGCACCTTTTGGATTAGTCATTGGCAGGATGACGGGCAGGGGAAGAGACATGTCTAGGAAGAGCAAGTGCTGAAGTGTGCACGCTCAACATCGCTCTCCTGAGTCACACGGCATCATGACCCGCCAGGCTGTGACACCCAACCCGCCATCTCTCCACTTGGGAGCTCTCCAAATCAGCCCCACTCCAACTCTGGTTTTGTAAGTGAAATGGTTTTAATTATCTGTAAGGTTGCTGCAAAATTCTCAGAAACATCTTCACACACAACAAAGTTTAACTTCTATGAAAACTAAAGCATGATTCATCAAATGGAGTGGTTCGTGAAATAAAAAAGAACTGTAAGAAGACAACCGCAAGCTCCAGAAAGGTGCAAAACTTTGAGAGAAAACCTAACTCTTATTTCTTAGAAGTGCCATCGAGGGTATTTACACCCATGAGAACGAAGGGGGACGGGGTGGTAGTGATTTCTTAAAGAACCCCCAGATTGGAGCATCATACACATACTCGTTCTTCCTAGAGAGCTGCAGGCCACAAACTTTTTCTGTAACGGGACAGAAAATAAAGCTCTTATGCTCTGTGGTGTCTGTGGCAACTACTTGACTCTGCAGAAAAGCAGCCTTAGACAACAGGTGAATGAACTGATGTGGTTGTGTTTCAATAAATCTTTAGTTACAAAAACCAGAGATGAATGGTATTTGACCCAAGGGCCACTGTTTGCAGATCCTGCTTAGAAGTTCCAGACATATAACAATAACAGCTGACAATAACTGGATTTTCAAATTGTACCTAGTGACACAAGGGAGAACGGAACCCACATGTTGGCGTATCTAATCCGTGCTCTTTAGAGGGACTAGCCAACAAATAACATTCTCTGGGAGACAAAAATTCCATGGATATAATCTACAAAAGAGTGAAGTTTTTTTTAAAACTAAGGCCAAGTTAAAACCTGAATTTTAAGTGAAGGTAACATTATTCGAAGACTGAGAAGACATTTTAAAAGGTCTTACCCTTCTATACTTCATGATGAACACTGATGGAGTGAAAACAAAGAACTGAATCTCATGCTCTCTCAAAAAGTGATTTAACTTAAATTAAGAGAAATTATGGCACTTACCCGGGACAAAATACTTTCTAAAGACTCTGTTAAAGATTTCTTTGCTTTGTTCTTCAGCATATCTAGCCTAAATCGAGTGGCACTAGATGGCAATTCACTTCCAATATTCTCTGCCACAATCTGTGATGTCTAAAAAATAAAACAATGTAAAGTCAAGTCACTTAGAGCCTCCTGCCTTCCTCTTTTCCTACCTTTTAAAAAAAAAAAAGGATTGAAAAGTCTCTAGGATGCATCTTTTTGACCCCAGGCCATATTCTTTCTGTGACCTCTTCTCATCTGTCACTTGGTGACATGACTGCAAGTCCAGGAAATAATTTTGCCTCAAAGAGTTGCTTTGCCTACTCCAAATGTAATGAGGAGATCTGCTTAGAAGCCAATCAGTTAACAAAGCAGCTTAGAGCTTGGGCCTTGGGGCTGGGTCAGAGATATGTCATTTATTAGCTGTGGCCTTATGCAAGTTACTTACTCTGAGCCACAATTTCCTCTTCTGTAAATTGAGACCAACCTCAAGATATAATCATAGCACTGTGTTGCACTGTGATTAAAACAGGTAAAGCATTAAAGCACTGGGCACAGCTTCCAGTACTAAGGGAGCTATGATTAGCTCTTTAGAGTAAAGTAACAACTTAATTTTGGGGGCATTTCACAGGGTAAGACAAATTAATCAACTGAAGAATCCATCCCCCTCTGCCTACAATAATCTTCATCCCCTTCTACAGAATCCTACTTTTTCCTCTCTCCCACCTCTTCTTTCCATCATCCCATTCGTTCTCCCCTGCAACGAAGCATCTCCTCCTTAAGTGACCATAACATGAAGCTAAATCTGTTTGCCAATCACAAAATGAAGTTTAATGTTACTTATTAACAGAGGTATGCTAAAATAAAAATTTTTTAATCCTCAAAATTAAACTGCTGCTTCTCTGGATGCTTACCTGAATGCTTCCTGCTAGATGATGATTGTTAGAAAAGAACCACCACATCCTTCATTACTCTAAACATCGACTATTCCTTGCTGTTGTTACATATTTCAAGTATATAGAGAAGTGTGCAGATTAATACAATAAATGCCTTCAATTCACCCCAGCTATATCCTGCAGGTGTTGAGAACAGTGACACTCACTCAACAAATATTGACCAAGTTATGTACCATGGGTGGGTGCCTTATTAACTGCAATTTGGTCCTATGCAATCATTTACCAAGAATAAGAGCTTACCCAGACACAAAGCAGCCTCCAGAGCAAAGGGAATTACCCATAAAGGAGCTCAGGTACCTGTATTTGACTCAACACTAGCTCACTCACAAAGGTACAAAGCTGTAGACTTGCTTTCAAACTCATAACAAAAGTTTTCATAAAAGAGAAGCATTTTGAATTGTGTTGACATATAAGGAAAATAGTGGGTAAAAGACTAGTAGTATGCAGTAGATCCTACACAGAAAACCTGTGCTGGTGTTTTGTTTTTGTTTTTGTTTTTAATAAACCAGCCCACTAGAGTCTCTCTGCACTTCAGTGCTGCTTCTGCTCTCCTCTACAGTCTAAAATCATTCTTTTCTGTCTATCGTCATAATTCAAATGCAACCTGAAAATTCACATTTAGAAAATAATTCATGCTTAGAAAATAATTTCATTTAGGAAATAACACATTCCTTGTTTATTTTAAACTAAGCATCTAGACGTTTCTCCTTTAAAGCTCCTAGTTTGCAGTTCTAGAGTGAATTGTACCACAGTGCTCACACTGCCCATCCCAAGACAGAGGGGAGAACTCTAAGCCTGAACATTTGGAGCCAAGTTTCAAATTCTTAAGCTAAAATGAAGTCCTCAGTTGAGAACCCACCATCCTAAGCTGTCACAGCATATTCACCAGCAGCTTTATTCACAATAACCAGAACCTGGAAACAGCTTAGGTGTCCAACAAAAGGAGAATAGAGAAATAAACTGTGGTATGGACACAATGGGATAAAAAGGAACACATTACTGATTTATGCAACATCAAAAACATTACGCTAAGAGAAAGAAGCCAAAACTAAAAGAGAACATACTGTATGATTCCATTTATAGAAAGTTCTAGAACAGTCAAAACTAACCTATGGTGGAAAAAAAAATCAAAAGAGTGGTGCCTGAGGGACGGAGGACTGACGGGGTGTGGGGTACTTTCTGGAGTGATGGACATGTTCTATATCTTGAGAGCGGTTGGGGCTAACTAAATGTATGAAATCCTTAAAACTCAACAGATGGTTCACTCAAGATTTGTGCAACTTACTATATGCAAATGTTATCTCAAAAAAACAGATAAATACCAAACTCTCGTTAATGATAGGCAAACTAAAGTGTTTGGGAATCAAGAGTACTAACATCAGAAACTTGCTTTGAAAGGCATCAGAAGTAAGGTGGCGTAGGAGACGGACAGATACACGGCAGCAAACACAACAGTGCTAAAAACAGTTTCAGCCAGATGGTGGGTATAAAAGTGCTCACTGTGCAATTCTTTCAACTTTTCTGTATGTCTGACAATTTCTGTAATAAAATGTCAGAAAAAAAACTTATCTACTAGATAATGGACCCAGGCATATCAATGAGTAATTACATAATATTAAATTTTGATAATTAAGCTCCTAAAGGGCATGATGATTAAGATGATGTCCTTGGACCTCAGACACATGGGCTCCACACTGCCCAGGAAACATCTTGACCCTGTTCCCCATGTCCTCGTGTCTCACATGGGTATCATGCCACCGAACTCAAAAAGGCGTTGTAGAAAAAATGGCAGAAGTCGTGTAAAAAATTAAAACTATGTCTGATACATGGCAAACATTCAACCAGTGGCAGTTGATTTAATATTATTAATTTCTGTACCAGTTCAGTGAACACAAGCAAAAATGATTAAAACGTGGTACCCTTTAAACTTTATTAATTTATAGACCTTTGTCCAAACTGAATCCTTTCCCGTAAGATCAAAGGATTCATTCAGTTTGTTTTCTACTTTATAAAACGATCCCTCTACCAGCCTCCAACACCAGCATTTTAGTCTGAAAAACACGCATGGCATGCAATCACCATGGCTCTGAGAAGTACAGTCCTGAGACTGTGTTCATGTCTTTGATCCACTTCTGAAAGCTGGTGGGCACAGACCACAGTTCCATTTCTCTCTGGTCAAGTCATAACACATTTTCAAAGGTTTCAGGAATTTTTAGGAGTAACAAGAAGGTAATGAAATCCATGTAAACCATCTGGTAGCAGAAAGTAAGAGCAAGAATCTACTGGTGACTCTCGAAAGTCCATCTGATCCATCTATAAAGCAGCTGCTGCTCTGAAAAGCTAAGCTCAGAGCCCAAGAGGGTGTCCAGCCTGCGAGACCACCCAACCACTGGGGATCGGGGCAACTTCCTTACAGGCAAAGACACAAGCCTCTTGGGTTACAGAATGTTTAGAAACCTCTAGTGAAAGGGATGCCCAGATGCCAGTTCCACCTTGAGGCTCAGTCTCCTTTAAATTCTGTTTTCAAATGGAAAAAAGCATGAAATATATTTCTCCATTGTACTAGCCTATGTCCAAATCATAAAGATATTACCCTGTTCCATAAAAATGAGACTGCCCTGAGGTCAAAACTTCCCACCCACCAGAAATGCTTCATTCCCCTTTCTAGCAGTTATAAATTATTTCAAAGTTATTAATCTCCTGTTGGAGTAAGTTGGACTGACTCAGGAGGAAGAAAATCAGAACGTAGAACAACTGTCAGTGGCACAAAAGAGAAGAGGAAAGGAAACAAGAAAAGGAATAGGTTGAAAAGTGAACCAGAGAATTAACTGAAAACTTAGACTGGGTGGCCCACCCAAAAGTGAACAGGTGGCGCCCAGAACTCGCAGGCGGCCTCAAGGGCACTGGCTGCAAAGGGGGGAACGTCAACACATAAAGGCCAAAAACACCACGTACTGGTACTAGGGTCGCAGCTAAGGGGCCCTAGAGCCGGCCAATGAGATTAAAAACAATGTTGGACACTGTATGTGATTAAGAGCTCAGGAAGGGCACATGACTGCCGAAGGCAACCGGAAGGGAGAAACAAATGGGGAGAGTCGCTATGTGCGATCCCAGCAAAACTGCATCACGGTCAGGTTACCAGAAAAGCAGGGGCTGTTTACAGGGAAAACACAAGGAAGAGAGCACATGACTGAGCTTTACAGTGCCTTCAGAATAGACACTCAGGGAGTGGTTTTTGGTGTTGTTTTTTTAAAAAGGCAATATACTTTTGGAAATTAAAGATTTTTTGAACATCCTTTACTGATTTTTCTCTAGATTTTCTGGCTTACCAGTAAACAAAAAAATAAAATGCATGTCTAGAAGTTATAATGGTTATTATGATTGACTTACACAGAGTTCAAAAAATGTAGGAAAATGGTCCTTGGCCCCATGTGTACTGAATCCCAAATGCAAAACTTTTCAAAGACAGAGACCTGCAGGTGGCCCCAGCTTCTGACACAGCACCCCTCACACAGAAAAGCTGAACAAAGCCGTGGGCAGTGGAGGTGGGAGGCGGACTCCGCACATCCGTCCAGCATGCGAGACGGAAGGAACACGCCCTCCATGTGAAGGGCTCAGCACCCAGGCCAGCGCCACCTGTGCTGTGTCAGAGCGCCACCGTACATTCACACGGCATTTATGTGACAAGAACTCGGGTACTTCCTGTAATTCTGAAGGCAGCTGTACAACGTCACTCCCACTTTATCAGGGAGAGGGTGAGGTGACAGAGACTGGCCCCTGCAGGTCAGGTAGCTTGTCTTGGTGGCAGCTACTTGTAAACCTCACTCTTGAGGTTCTATGCCACAGTCCCCCGTCAGAGCAACTGCCCCACCCCTACTACAACGCAGACAGACACTTCTCTCACCTCCTCCAAGCACAATCTAAATATTCCCAAGTTTTCCCAAGTTTACCGTACATGCAACAAATGAAAATAAAATAAAAGGAGAAAGAGGCTTCAGAGCTTCAGAAAGTCCTCAAGACTCTTTTATAGAGCATCGTGGTAAACTCATAAGAGAGAAAAAGAAAAAGGCCATACCTGCTTTACCTCCCCAACATGGACATGAACTTTTTGTTTCTCTTCATATAAACATCTCAAGAAAGAAATAATCAATTCATTCTCTCGCTGCTCATTTCTTGGTCTCAGTTTCTTAAAGGGGGAAAAAAAAAAGAATACATTAATGTTTAATTGTCACCAAAACTGCTAAGCCATCCCTTTGAAAATGCTAACAGCTTCCACCCACCAACTAGTGCTTTTTTTACCCAACCATCTCACTAGGGGGCACTGATGATCCTAAAAAGTGAGATAATTTTCTAAAAGAAACAGATAATGGAGCCAGTGGGCCAGATTAAGCTCTGATGTCCTTATACCTAAAATAAATATTTCGTATCAGTTAGAGGCATAGTCAAAGTATTTAATAAACAGCCCTGAAAACAGAAGAAAAGGACAAAATCTGTGCAAACACCCAAAGGTCAACATTTGTAAACCCTATGGTTAGGGACTGGAAAGGAAGACAGCAACTGGACCCCGGGTTACGGTTCCTTCCTCACGTCAAACGTGTTCACCACGGAGCACTTTCTGGCAGCCCCACCAGGCATGCACTTACACACAAACTTTCATGGCATGGACTCAGTTTCTCTCTTCTTTCTTTCTTTAAAAATTCCTTATATGCTTTTTATTTTTTAGGCAGGGCAGTGGAAAGACACACTGGACTAGAAATCAGGACACGCAGGTTCCAGGTGCCGCCTAGAAGTGTGACCAAAGGCCAGTCACTTAATCTTAGCTTCTCCATCTCCACTATGCACAAGATACACTCCAGGGTCTCCTCTGGCTCCCAGATTCTTTGGATTTGAAATACCAGTCACAGTTCATTTTTAGAAGACCATCTAACTTAATTATTTTCTCTGAGTATGAAGAAAACAAAACTGAATTACTCTGGGAATACACAAAGCTTCTAGTCTATAAACTTTAGAAACATACCTTTTTCATAATGACAGTTATCCACTGCCTTGCTCCTCCTCTCTGCCTGCCCTTTAAAACAAAGTCCAGGCGTAATAAATGCATCAGCTACACAAGCATCTGTGTCTGGGTCAGCGCTGTCTTTGGCAGCCCAGCTAACGAAGGAACAATCATTTTGCCCTCGTGGCACAAACTTTAGAAGCAGAAGTGACGCTAACCCAGACCTGTGACATTCCCTCTCTAAAAGAAAAAGATCATTTAAAATAAGTTGTTCCTGTTACTCAACGAAATGACAGTAAATGATCAGAAGGGGTTGTTTTCACTGAGGACTTTCTATTCTTCCAAATTTCAAATCTAAAGATTAACTATTTTAAAGGCTAGAACAGATGATCTCACTCTGGATGCCAAGCCAGGGACCTTAATGTTATAAATTTTTACATGTTTTATGCAACAAGTGGATTTTTCCAGGGAAGGTCCCAATCAGATCTTCAAGAGAGGAAAGTGGCAGTCACACACCACAATCCCAGCTTAATTCTGCTGACTTCGGGAAGGCCACTGTGAATCTAAAGGCCCAGGAGGCAGGAGGACCTCTCACTCACTGCTGGCGGGACCGTGAAATGGTGCAGCCACTTAGGGAGCCAGTCTGGCCGCTGCTTATAGAACTGACCACATTCTCACCAGGCAAGCCAGCAATCGCACTGCTTAGTATTCACCAAAAGGAGTTGAAACTGTACGCCCACACAAAAGCTTGCATAGGAATGTTTGCAGCAGCTTTATTCGTAACTGCCAAAACTAAGAAGCAACCAGATGTTCTCCAATAGATGAATGGATAAACAAACAGGTACATCCAGACGATGGAATATTATTCAGCACTAAAAAGAGCTATCAAACCATAAAAAGACATAGAGGAACCTCAGATGCACACTGTGAAGGGAAAGAAGACCATCTGAAAACGCTACAAACTGTATAATTCCAACTATTTGACATTCTGGAAAAGACAAAACTATGGAGACAGTAAAAGATGAGTGGTTGCCTGGGGCTTGAAGGGGGGCAGAGGGGTGAACAGGTGGAGCACAGAGAATTTTTAGGGCAAAGAAACAATTCCGTATGGTACTATAATGGTGGCTGCATGCCATTATACGTTTGTCAGAACCCATGGGAGGTACCACACCAGGCGTGAACCCTAATGTAAACTATGGGCTTTAGTTAATAAAGATGCATCAATACCACCTCATCAACTGTGATAAAGGTATCACACTAAAACAAGACTCTAACAGAGGAAACTGATTGGGGGAGGTGGGGGAGGGCACGAGAAGTTTTACAGGAACTTTTTCTGTGAAACTAAAACTGCTCTGAAAAATAAAGTCTATTTTTTTTTAAAGAGAGGAGCAGACAGGACAGAAAGGCACCCAAGAGCTGCCCCATTCTTTCCGCTCCTACTCTTTAATTAAACCTTGGGTTGCTCTCACAAAAATATGTCTATTTTCTTGGAGAAATTCTTCACAATCACTTATTTCAAAATATTAAAAAAGGCTAAGAACACAGTAATAAGGAGAATTATTAATATGTTTTCTTTTTCTCAACATACACATGAAGGAACCTACTCAAATGGACAGAAAATGAGACTGCAGTGAACACAGTGTACCACCAGAGCCGTCGCCCAGACACTACATCACAGAGCACCTTAGGCATCACAGGGAAAGTCGGTGAGGCTGAGAACACCATGTCTGGGGTGTCACACAAGGTCAAGAAATAAATCCCTCCTTAAAATAACTGAAACATGACTCGGGGCGACCCTCCTGTTGAGTGAAAACGATTCGCGAGGTGGCACCACCTTAATACCGCCCATGTGGCCATGTGACTTCACCATCCTCCAAAGGGGCAAATCACTCCTTCCTAAAGGTGATTTATAAATAGCCATGAGTCAGAGGGACAAATCTGAGGAAAATAATGGGGACTCAAGTTGGATAATACTACTTTGCAGTCAAAAACTAACTTGCTTACTCAAAGTTATCTACAGCGTCAGAAGTCAGGACAGTGGTTCCCTGGGGGTAGTGCTGACCGGGTTCTGAGGGACGGGACGGCCCTATTTCCCAGTCTGGGTGCTGCTGCACAGGCGTATTCATCTTATGAAAATTCACTGAAATGCAGCCAGTATTTTACTATAAGTAGAGTAAAACCTTTAAAAACTGTGAATCACTACATTGTACATCTGAGACAGGGAGGGTACAGCTCAGTAACAGAGCCCCTGCTTAGCATGCACGAGGTCCTGGGTTCCATTCCCAGTACCTCCATTTAAAAAAGAGAGAGAGAGAGACTATATTGTACACCTGAAACTTACATAATATTGTAAAAACTATGCCTCAAAAATTTCTTTTAACTGCAAAAATATTTTTTTAATTTCATTGAACTATACAACATTGATTGTGTGCTTTGCTATAGATTTCATTTTTTAAAAAGAGCAATGCAAAATAATTAATTGCCTATTAAAAGTAACAAAGCCAATTTTGTTACACTTCTTAATCTCATTTCTCTGTAAGTCAGTTGTAAAAATGATTTTAAAATCAATTTCTAACACTGGCTAATGAATACCAGAACACTGAGAAAGTCTATGGTCTTCTGAGGAGTCTATTTAAAATAGCGACGCTCACCTGGATACAACCACCAGACATCTTTTTAAAAAAAAAGATAATAAAATCTTACAAGAAATCATCTTTAAATCACTGAAAAGCCAACTAAGTTGATACATAGTCTACACAAAGTTGGGGGGGGAGTTCCTCCAACCATTAATCTTTGACTTGTTTAAAGTTATGTTATTTAATCCATTATCAACATCTATTGAGTCTCAATCTACTTGATTTACCTACTGAGTATTCATTAAGGCATTCCCTAAAACGCACTCATTCAGATGAAGGAAATTAAGACTTAGAAACATTTTCTTCACCAATTCCACCTGGTATGAAAGCAGTTTCTCCCTCTGAGGACAATGGATGTGGACACATTCAGCCAGTGGAGACAGCAGGAGAGAGTAAGGCCCCGCCTGCGGGTCACCCTCCTATATACCCACCTAGATATGTTGAAAATTGTACATTTCAAAAAGGTCATTGATAAAAAAAAAGTGCCTCTGCAGTGTCATGCGTCCTCTTAGGAAGAGGAGGGTTAGCAGCCCCGCAAGCCTATGGGGCACCAAGTCCTCCTCTCAGAGCTCAAAGCCGAAGCTGGCTTGCTGGCAGCAGTGGTAATCCCCAGCACCATCTGCACAGTAATTAATGATCTGCTTCTTTCCGGTTCTGTTTGGGTTGCACTTTTTTTTTTTTAACATGAAACACTGATTTACAAAAACAAATATGTATGCTTCAATAACTATTTAAGTAATCATGTACCATTTATTTCAATAGTAATTAGATTTGTTTTATAAAAATTTGCCCTTGGAGAATTCCTCAGAAACAAACTATTCTCCAGGAAAATATTAACCAATCTATTTATAAGAAGTCTCATGATACTGCAAAGCCACTTTTTTCTTCATGTTTTCAAAACCCATGGTTTTTCAAAAACATCAACAGGCACTACTACCAAAAAATAAACCAGTGACTTGGTTTATAAAATATTCTATAAAAAACAAGATCGGTCATTGAGGAAATAATTTAACAAGACTACCAATAAGCCATCAGAAGAAAGCCATGTCAAATTTGCATTATTTAAAGAAAAGCCACACTTACAATGATGGAAGACAAAGTATGAGCTGGCTTTTCAAAGCCAATGAACAGGAGGACTTCCCTTTGTCTTTAAACCAATCAAAAAATTACAGTGCCTTCTACAACCACACACAGGGCCCTGAGATACTAACTGAATGCATTTTTTTAAGCAAACCTTTGTCACTGATTTTCTCTAATGTTTGTTTGTCATAATGTGTCTTAAACTTTCATGCATCAATGAGAATCTCAGAACCACATCCATTAGGAACTTGTCACTGCTGCAAAAGAATATTTTGGATATTACCTATCTTGATTCATCACAGTCTTCTGGGGAAAACTACACAGTGCTGCCTAAATTAAAAAGAAAACCAACTCACATTAGGGGAGGAACATACGTCTTCTATGCTTGCTAGAAAGATGTTCCCCAAAGTGACTTGATAGCACTAATACAGCAAAGTGGGCCAGCATCAGATGAAAACAGCCCCAGCTCCCATTACAAACGCATTAACAGTCAGAAGCAAATGTCCATCTATTTATGAATCCCAAGTACAAATCACATTAAATTTGCCTGAGAGGACTGTGTACTTAGAACTCTAAAGATCTTTGAAGAAAAAACAAAGTAGTGTGTCTCAAGTCAATTCAGAAGAAAACAAGAAAATTTAAAGGCAACTGGAAATTGTGTAAGTTATTCTAAGCTATTTATGAAATTTAAAAACCTTACTATGCTTTCTTTCTACAAACATCTGCCAATCCGACTGCAGAAAAACAAGGGAAGGAGAACTCTTAACTTGTGATTAAAGAAAAAGACAGTTCTTTAATTTTTCACTCTAACAGAAAACAGACCATGGGCCCTGTCTGCAGTCCTTCCCCCAGTGAGGAGGGAGAGAGAAGTCACAGTCTAGAGTTGCCGGCCTTCCTGTTTTGTTTAAAGACTCCTCTCTTTGCAGAACCCTGCCACTCTCCTCCCTCCAAAAGAGAGATTAATGCTTTGTTCTGCTGTGCTCTCCTCCCTAGAGAAGTGCCACGAAACCACAGAAAATGCCCCTCAGCTAAAGCAGACATGAAATTTTTGATGAGCTCATTAAAGATTCATAATGAACAGACTACAGGCATGCCAGCACACACAGCATGGTTTCCCCGAGAAACGTGCATCGAAATGTGAGGACAAGAGCGAGTTTCCGGGTTTACTGCAGAAAACCAACGAGCTTGGGTTTTGTTTTGTATTTTGGTTTTTTGTTTGGTTTTTTTAAATTTTTGTTTATTTGGGGGGGGAAGATAATTAGGTTTATATTTATTTATGTATTATTTATTTATTTATTTATTTAAATGGAGGTACTGGGGATTGAACCGAGGATCCCATACAGCTAAGCAAGTGCTCTACCACTGACATACACCCTCCCCACTCTGTATTTTGTTTTTAAGTTTGATATATCACATAGTAGGTAACATCATCTATTTTCAAAACTGAAAAATAAGAGAGGGGAGGAACAATTATGTTCAATTTCATGTACGAAATGTTATAGCCTTGAGACTCCCACAAGGAGGGCTGAATCCCCAGCAGGAAGGCGCGGGCAGAGGTTTCCTGGGGAGAGCAGCGCTCAGGGACCAAAGTCCAGGTCCCCTGTCTCCCGGGCTGAGGCTCTCTCCACTTCATTTCCTTTCTCTCATTCTTTGAAGGACAGCTCCCCTGGCTTAGTTATTTTCACAAGAAAACCAATTCTGACCTGGCCCCCTCCAGGGGGCTGTTAAAGCTTAAGCCAAGAGGAACTCGGGGCCACTTCCTCGGGGCTCTGACGGCTCTGCTTTGCAATTTTTTATAAATAACATTTCATGGATAAGTTGCCTGCCTTCTCGTTCCTTCTAGAAATTAGAAACCATTACCATACCTGAACCTCTTCAAAAATTGTCGCTTGCTCCTGATTCGTTAACGTTGTCAGGTGCTTCTGGAGTTCTAGTTTGGTTTTGGAAGAATTCATTCCTATTAAGAGATTTTTAAAAAGACAGAGACATGAGAACACTCGTAACAGCTATAAGGGAGAGTCAACACCTCCCATAATCACTCCTCTTTACATGAAAGGTGGGTGCTCACCCCCACCTCAGGCTCTTGAGGTTTCACGGAAATTCTAATCCAACATGTCGGTGATGATGCCGGTGACAACCAACATTTTTTGGTTGAGACCTTGTGTGCTAGGCACTGACTTCAACTTCAGGCCTGGGTCATGTAATAGTCAGAACAATCTGACGAACAAGAGTCGATTAGCCCCATTTTACAGTTCAGGAACTGAGACTCAGAGAGCTCCCATAATTTCCAAAGACCACCAAACTGGGCTTTACCTCAGGTTTGTGTGGCTCCCAATTGCGTTTTTTCACCGCTACTCCATGTTAGAACACCTCACACAATCAGAGCATTGTCCTCAGAAAACTCTTGGGAGTATTTGTACGTTAACATTTGAAAACTGACCAGAGTTTTCCTTTTACATATTAGGCTCTTTCACGGAAAACTGATTTGTGTGGCTAACAACTTTTCTTTTCACCACCACTTGCTTATTAACAGTCTTAAGACTGTCTAGTTAACATTACAAAGGAGTGTGAGGAAAAGTCCTTAAAATAAAGTTGCAGTGTTAGTACCCGTTAGAATCTGATATTTCACAAAGTTCCTTCTCCACACATAAATGGCTAGGAACCTTTCGGCCTCTTCTTGGTGCCAGAGATAAACACCCCACATGAAGAGAGAATCTGGAATGAAAGGAATCACTGACCTAATGTTCGTGGAAAAACTGCTGCCGACTGCTCTGGGTCCAAGGGCAGTCCTGTCCCCATCCACCTGCCACCCCCGCCTGCTCCTGGGTGAGCAGCGGGGCAGGGGCTCCAAGCCAGATCTACCTGTGTCACTGAGGAGGGCTGGAGGGGACCTCCGACATCCGAACAGGGACTTGGAAATCATGCCTCTGTTTTACAGATGAGTTTGCTGAGGTCCAGAGAAGACAGTGACTAAAGGTCAGGGGGCCGATCCGTGCCCAGAGCCAGGGTGCCTCCCCCGACCCCTCCTGCTGCAGAAGGCAGAGCCCCACCCTCCTAACAGGCTGCGGCCCCTGCTCAAACTGTTGCAGCTCTCTCCGCTTCCAGAAGTCCTGCCTTTCCTCTCAATCTTTTTTTTTGGGGGGGGGAGCGAAAACCCTAAGAAGTCACCATAAAAATAAAAGGCAATTATTTAAGTGACTACTGTGCACAATACTCCATGAATAATATCATTTAATCCTCAACATAATCCTTGAAGTGGGCACTGTTTTTAGTCGTCCCAGTGTCTGTAGAAGAAGAAACTGAGGCACAGTGAAGTCAAGTATTTTGTCCAAGGTCATCAGCTAAGTAAGGGACACAGTTAAAATCTGACCCACATCTGCCTGCCATCAGGGACCACTCTGAAACACGCCACTGCTCCCCTTCACCTGGACAGTCAAGTCACCTGACACCAGTGGCTTTAATACCAAAGTGAATCGCTAAGTGAAATGAGGCAGAGAAAGACAGATACTATATGTTTTCACTTATATGCGGAATCTAAAAAAACAAAACAAAAAATACAGCAAAACAGAAACACACTTAAGATACAGACGACAAACTGGTGGTCACGAGAGGAGAGGGGAAGGTGGGAATGGGTGAAACAGGTGAAGGGAAATAAGAGATACCAGGGGATTAAACTACCAGTTATAAAATAAATAAGTCACAGGGATGGAATACGCAGCACAGAGAACATAGTAAATAATGTTATAACAACACTGTATGGTATGTAAGATATAAAAATATTGGATCATTATGTTGCACACCTGAAACTAATAATAATATTGTAAGTCAACTATACTTCAATTTAAAAAAAAAAGAGGTGAGTACAAGTGCAAAAGGACAGATGGATTTTGTCAGAGCACAATTCAGGTACTCTTATGGCAGGCTGGCAGGTCACAGCAGCCAGGGAAAAAACAGAGATGACTTTACTGAACTAACTACTGAAATGTTGAATCAAAACAGTGTTTAAATTTATGAGTAAAATTAGCACTTAGAAATCATTAGATGAAAATCCTCCCCCGGACATGGACGTCAATGACACAGTGTAAGCATCTTCTCTCAGACACACTGTTCTGTCTGATGAGACATTCATGTGTAGAGAAAAACCCCACGAAGAGGTGGACTAATTAGGTACACTTCTAACAGTCTCGGGTGAAGTCATACAATACAGACTACTCTTCACATTCAGCAGGCACAGAGCCCCTGCGACAGTTCTACCCCTGCCGTGAGGATGCCTCCATTCATTAGGTCCTTCCCACCCCACATTAAAACAGAGGTGGTCCTCCTGGGCCCAGTGCCTGCTCCCCACCGTGCACCCACCACGGGGCTTCTCACCACCTTCAGCCACTTCTGCGGGGTGTCTGCAGCAAGAAGGCAGCACTCCCCGCATGATGCCAAAAGCCTTTTTTTTTTTAATAGGCGAGAAGGGAGGCAAGAAACACAGCAGAGAAGGGTAACCAGAGTCCAGGGCTTTCCCAGACTACAGTCCCTCCAGGGTGGTTAGCGCGCTGGCCTTTGTGCTGTCCGGCTGAAAAGGCTCTTACTAGAGGGAGCTCTGAATCTGAATGGCTTTGCTGTGCTGGAGGTAAATTTATTTAGAGAGCAAAAGAAAACCTTAGTTCACCTTTTTTTTTTTCTTTTTAGTGAAAGTATAAATTCTTTCCAGCAATTCCCCAAATGCTCCTCTAAACTTAAAAAAAAAAAAAAGCAAAATACCATGTAAGTAATACTAGCAGTTGTACATAATTCAAACAGAAACAAGAACAGAAGCCCCTCTTACAAGCTGTAAGTGCGCTCCAGAGTGCAGTGGCCACCATTACCCATATGTACACTGTATTTATTCTATTTTATAGATTCCAGAGCACACGTGACTATATCAATTGCTTAAGAAAACAGTCTTTAAGTCCTTTTTGTGGCCAAGTCACTGGTCCTCTCCACAGTGTATGAAGTTCTTGCCCAGATCGTGGCTTCCTATAAAACTACTCTTAATGGGAACATACAACGAGCTTTAATAAACCACTTCATTCTACTTACTAGGGAAGCAATATAGCAAAAAGCAAGAACCTCAAACTGTTCATAAAATAATCAGCATCTCCTCTAGTAAAGATGGCTGTAATAATGGGCCATCTACACTCTAGAAATGCTTCCCATCACAAAAGCAAAACACCCTCACCAGCCTCCTAATTGTGCTACTTAATGGATGTTTTTCCGTCAGCATCGCTTTCTGCTTTGCTTGGTATTTTATCAGGGAAAAGGATGAATTAAACGGTAACTCCAAAACTGCAGCAGCAAAATCCCTACCATAATCAAACTTTTCAGCTTTAAACTTCTGAAAGCTAAGCCAGACCAAAGAAAGATCTATCAAGTGGGACTCTGGAATCCTTCCAGTTCCTCCAGATCACGGTCTGCTTTATCTTCAAGGCCAGAGTCACTGCTGGTTCTTAATGAGCTCATAAGGGGCATTTCCGTCATCGTTTACCTTATCTTGACAACCACTAAGGAAAGGGTTAGTGATCTTCTCAGATGGGATCTCTTGTTAAAGCACAACTTTTCTTGTTCCCAGATATATTTTGTATAATGTCAGCAAAGAGTAACAACTAGGAAAACACAGTTTAAAATGTTTATCATTCTGATTCATTTTAAAGAGCACTGGAATGCCAGCAAATGAACCTTTGAGGACCTTAAGATGATGTCAATTTATCTTTAAAAAAGGAAATCAGATATCACTTCACACACGTCAGAATGGCTACCATCCAAAAACAAAACAAAACAAAACAAAGCAAAACAAAAACTACAGAAAGTCAGGGGGAGGGCACAGCTCAGTGGTGGAGTGCGTGCTTAGCATGAGCGAGGGTCTGGGTTCAATTCTCAGTACCTCTATTTAAAAAAATAGATAAACTAATAAATAAATAAACCTAATTACCTCCCCCTTCCAAATAAAAATAAATATAAATTTTTTTAAAACCCAGAAAGGAGGTTTACTTACCCCTGAAATGTACAAAATAAATAATCCCTTTTCTGCCCACGAAGTGGTGAGGATTAAATGGATGATAACACATGTTAAAGAAAACACCCAGCTCAGAGCCAGGCACATCTTAAGTACATGATCAACATTATCTGCAAACTGTAACATTTATTGCAGTTTCTCCCTAAGCCAAATTTCTAGAAACTGTTGTCCATACTCACAGCACCATTTCCTGTGCCCTTTGTAATGGGCTTCTCAACTGCCACCTGTCTTCCGGCCACTCCACCCCATTAAAACTCCTCTGGCAGAGGTCACCGATGACCTTCTGATCGGGACACCCAGTGGAAAGTCTTCCCTCTTATCCTACTAGCCCTCTCCATGGCAGCCAACGTGACTGAGCGCTCACATCCCTTTGATTAGCAACACAACTGGGGTTGTACTCTCGGATTCCCTAACTCCTCCACTACCCTCAGAGCCCCTTGGAGGGAAGGTGGTAGCAGGGGGTGCCTAGTGCAGTGGCTGACACACAGAAGACATTCATCTGCTCGAAGGGGTCCCCGCTCACCCTCCGCCCAGGCTCACCCTCGATCCGCTCACAGAGCTTGTGCAGACCCTGCAGGGGGCAGCCCTCACACAGCTGGGCCGGCGCCCTGGCCGTCCGCTGCACCGCAGCCACCGTGAAGGCCTGCTTCAGAGTCATCATGATTTCATCAACCTGGACAGAGAGAAGGCAGACCAGTCAGCAAAAGGCCACTCTGAAATGAGCTGGGCAGAGGGCTCAGGACTCTGCGGAAAGACTCGGGATTTTAAGATTCTTCTGAAGCATCAGTCACAGGCTGACAGAAAATAATCATAATAACTGCTAGGATTACGTTCAGTCTGAGAAACATGATGAATGTGCAAAGCTCTTCCAGGAGATAAGGTAAAAACTAGGCTCAAACTAAATACTGAGAGAAAAAGCCAAGTCTTCTGATCAAAAGTCCAAAATATTTTTAAAATGCTAATAAAGCAGGGGTGAAAGTGAGCAGGTCTTTAAGAATAATGAAAATTGAAAACACACACCCAAATAAGGCTCAGGTGTGTGCTAACTAGCTAACTGTTAAACAGCCATGGATAAATAATTAAAGCCAAATAACATGCCAATGAGGCCATATGGTTTTGCTAAGGAAAGAAATCAGTGAGGTTGAAATCCCTTGTAAAGGAAACTTCAAGGTAAGAACGGCTCCTTCTCACTTACCAGAGCCTCGTTTGTGCACTGAAACACGTAACAGACGAAATGAAAGCCTCCACCTCCTGAAGACTCTCGGCAGATAAACCCAAAGTGGTCCACGTGCCTAATACCCTGCGGAGGCGGGAAGAGAGAAGGGAGCGGTGAGCTGTCTCCAGAAGAGGCACCAGTGCCGGACATGCAGCTTCAGATTTACGCAGTACAATTTTAAAGGACACTACATAAAGGTATTATTTTCTCAGGTATTTAAAAAATCTAAAAACACCTCTCAAATGTGAAGTTCTACTAAAATGTTACCCTGACTACCCCCACAGTAAGAGACGTAGCATCTGAAAACTGGAGTTTTTCATGCTCATTTTACCACTAAAAGGAAGCAGAGAAAAGCTGACACAGAAAAATGAGAACTTTTCTTAGGTATCAAGGAGTAAGCAGATGAGACATTGATGAAAAAACACAAGTGTACCCACACACACGCACGCACATGCACACACACACACATGCAGACACAAAGGTTAAGAGAAAAGATTTATCATCTTTGTACTCCTAAAATAAGAAATAGGTAAATACTGAAGTAAACTGGAAGGAACAATGAATCAAAAATCATACAAAAAGAATGGAGAAGCTTTTACACATAAGATATTAAGGCCAAAGCTCTACCACAGTTCTTAAGAGCTCTTTCAAATAAATATTGTATGCACACTTGTTTTGAGAGTATAAGCTAAGAGGCACAGCAACACAGATAAGACTTCATCCATAAGCGTGAATACACAGGGTCTCCTGAAATCGCCAGCATGCAGAGATCTGAGTGCTGACACTCTGAACGTCAGGTGATCATGTCAACCACACCATTTAGGAAATGACAAAAACTATCACGTGCAAAGGTAAATACTTAATAATAACATTTCAATAGAAATAGCACCTCATCAAGATTAAAAAGTCTGTGGAGAATCTCACTTTCAGGTCAAGTATCTCCCAACAAACGGGCAATCACCGACACAGTCTAGCATCTCAGGCAACGTTCTCCAACAGCAAGTTAACCAGATGCAAGAGGTTACTTCTCAGGGGAGTGTGATTTGGAAAAACTTTTCCTTGGTAAAGGGTTCCCTATTCGACTGTATTCATGAACATTCATTGTTGTCACATTTTGGGGGGAAAAATATTCCCTGTTGAATCCATATGTAGATCATGTTATAAATCAAACAAGGAGACTTTCATTATATCTTATTTTGAGAAAATGGAAATCAGAAAATGAGTTTTAAAAAGGAGGCATACAATAACTTTAAGCGATTTCATATTTGCTAGGAGATCCTGAGTAAAACTGGCATAGCCCATTACAATTGACAGATTCTCCAAAATCTCCCTGTGAAACACACCCAGGAGATTATCAAGAAAGAACTCAAGGAGACACTGTATTCTGAGGATGACACCCTTATAGATAGTCACTATTTATTATATTTTAAGGAAAAAGAAATAATGATCTTTGGTAACTCAAAAGTTAGGAGTTTTTGTAACGCAGAAATATCTATTTAAAAATATATATTTGTATGTATGAATGCATATATTAACACACACACGTACACATATACATACACCTGGAATTATGACTGTGGAATATAACTACAGATGATTTAAAAAAGGAAAGTAGGTTCTCCAGTAGATTATGGTTGCTAAAAACAAAATACTTGATTTCAAAATTATATTCACATTTTGCCTTAATATACAAAAGGAGGAAGAAATGAAGATCACAAATTGGGTACTTACAAAGCATACACCTTGTAACCTTAACCACTTCGGCTCAGTGACAAAGTAAAAGAATTTATTAAAAAATTCAATGGCTCTTGAGCTGATAACCCATCTCCATTTACCTGAGAGCAAAAGGATATCTCCTTAAAATTTTTCTCCAACGCTATTTTTTTGGTGTCAGGACTGATGAGGTAAACTTCCGATTGACCAATCTTAAAAGATAAACAAAAAAAGCAACTAGCTTTTCATGAAAATTGAATTCAAATTTATTACACAAACTTTCTCATTTCATGACCTATGAAAATAAAGAACAAAAGAGTCAAGCTCCTATAGAATTCGGACCATCTCATGCAGAAAATCACTTCAAGGTTACAATCTATCCTACGGATTTCGGGTAGCACAGACGACCATCGCTACTTTCATCTACAACAGGCAGCAGTCTTGAGATGAAAGGATCAACTATCCGTAAGTTAGCAGCAGAGCCCCAGGTCCCATACCCAAGTGTGGTAAGGCACTGAGGTTTCTACATGAGTGAATCTCCCTGCGAATATGGAGCTTCGCTTTTACAAATTCCAGAACACTTTCTAATGATAACAAAAGTCTTCTTAAATTACTGTTAAAATAATCTACCATTTGTTGAGTGCACACTGTGAGTTAGGTATTCACCACTGCTTACCTGACCTTCTAAAAAAGTTAGAGCATTAGCATAAATTAACACTGACTTACAAACTTGAGTCAGCCTAACAGATATCCTAATAGATGTCCGTTGCAGCAAAGGACTGTGTTGCAATAGCCATGTTAACTGTGCAGCATCCCTCCCTCACCTGCTGCTCCCTGAACCCAGGATTCTCTTCTAGATGACCACAATGAAACCTCTGCTCAGTGAAAGTCACTTTCTCAAAGAAGTCTTCCCCGATACCCCAGCTGCTCTCACAGGATCCTCTACTTATCCTTTGTGATATTTAATCACAATTTCAGTGAGACAATTACTTGTACAATCAGTTGTTGGTCTCCTCCTGGAATCTAAATTCCACGTGAGCAGAGACCGTGCCTGTCTTTGCTGTTTTTCCTGCATGTTGCAAGGGACCCTGTATACAGCAGTCACACAATAAGTACTTGAAAAATAAATGCACTGAGCAGCTTTCCCAATGACACTGAGAGTTTTTGTCTTTTTTTAAAATATAAATCACAGGTTAAAGCACAAGTCTGACTGTCAACATAACACTCTTTTCAGGATACTAGGTCAACATGAAAAGAGGAAGAAATGGGTCCTATTTACTCTGTGACACACCATATTGATCTTGGACCTGCATACATGCACACAGCCAGCTTCCTCACCCTTCGCCACAGAAACCAGACATTACATTTAAGTTAATTTTGCTCTTTCTAGAATGTCAGTCAGCCTTAAGCCAAAGAAGAGACAGAGGAGACCGAGGGACAGTCAGTCCCCTGTATCATCGGAGGCCAGCTCACTGTTGGGAGGGCTCTGAGTCTTGTCAGCTCAGACCCAGAGGGCTCTCAGGGAGGACAACACATCCAGAAGGGCCAGGATCAGCATGTAAGCCAGGAGCTGCCACTGCCAGGGACAGCTTCCCTGTCCATGCCTCTTTGAGCATTTGGCTCACTGTCAGTTCACCAAACTGCTTCTAGAAAAAACTGAGTAAGCAGTTGGCTAAACTAATATTTCAGTTCGTGTATAAATTTCAAAAACCAGGTTATCCCCAAATCTAATTATCCAGACTTACAAAGGATAAGTATTTCACAAATTAATAACAATAGTAAAGAGGGAGTATCTTCCAAAAAGATTGTGTTGAAATATATTACTTGAAATTTATATATATATACATATGTATACACATATATACATATATATACACACATATATACATATATATACACATATATATATATAAAACCTTTGGGGGCCTCTTTTATACATATTAACTGTTTTTACCACATTGAAAAGGTGTCTGCACAACCCCGAGGGAGGGGGATAAAAATTAGACAGGATAGAAGACAGATTCTCTTTGCTTCCCCCTGATGACTCCAAAGGCTAATAGGGACTAAAATAAGGATTTTCTCCTGAGAAAAAAATTATTCAATATAAAAATATTTGGATTCATGCATAAATCCAAAAGCAATTCACAGAGAATCTTCACTCAAAAAAGCAAATTTTCTTTTAAACACACAGTTCAGACTGGGGATGTGCAGGAGGTTTGAGAATATTTTACCGTGAAGAGCATAGTTCGATTTTCCTCAATATCCGTCGGCTGCACAATATTGTGTCCACTAATTAGGTGGTTCTCAATGTCGTTTTCCTCAAAAGAGCTGAAAAAACTACTACTTCGCAGGCTTGCATCTTGAAACTCCTTCCTGAAGGCCAGGGAGCGCAGCCCAGGCTGGGAGAAGGACTTGCGCATCGGCCGCGGGCCCTGCTCGGCATCAGCAGCCGGCTGCAGCACAGACCGGAATTTATCCGAGAAGGAAAAGCCTCCGGCGGGGGCGGGGGCGGGGGCGGGGGGCGCAGTCTCCCAGCCCCGGGAGCTGCCGCAGACGTGGCTGAAGCCCTCGATGCATTCGTCGATCAGGGCGGGCGGGGCCTTCCGGTGCGCCACCGCCACGCGGCCGCAGAACAGCACCTCGAACTTCTTGGCGAAGGTGTCATCAAACTCCGACGGGCAACGGAGCTCCTCCTGGCGGGCGATCTTCCCGGCCTGTCGGATGGAGCTGATGATCTCAGGCACCTGGCGGGAAAGGAAGGAGCGTTACTTGGAACAGGCGGCGGTGGGTACCACACAGGGCCCGCATCGGCAAGGAGCCAACGCCGCGCTCTGCCCGACCTCACACTGCGTATTCCATCGCAAGGTCCTGAAGGAGCATCCCACGCAGAACCTGGGACCATGAGAGGGAAATGTTCAACTTTCACAGAGATCAAAAGGGGAATGATACTTATTAAGCACCTCTTACACGCCCAGGCTATGCTAGAGGGTTCCCATGCCCAACACCCCATAAGCTTAAGCGACTAACCTTGAGACCCACAGCCCAACGTGGCAAACCCTGGATTCAAATCCAGCCTGGTCCCCCCACTCCAAAGCCAGAGGCCCTCTCTGGAGATGTTGTCACCCCCATAGAGGTCCATCTGTCACCAAAACATGCAGTTACTTCTAGATCTCATGGCAGCACATTAAGGCTTCACAATAAATGATGGGATGAGGGTAACAAGACTGAAATTATCTTACAAAACACTTCTAATCATAACATCATTATTTTCTCTACTGACAACTGACAATTTATTATTCCTCAGTCCTATACTTCCTAATAGTGGAAGAGTGCCGACTACACAGTGAGGAGGTTTTAATTAAGGGGTAAGCAACCATGACAGTATCATTATCACAGCAACACACTGGGGCTTCTTTCCTGTGAGCTACTAAAGCCTTTGGTCCCTAATGTAATGTCATGATGAAGAGAACTAGCAAAAGGGCCCCGTGTGCTACTGTCAGCCCTACTGCTACACCCTCTCATTATCAGCTTCTGACCAGATGCTTCAAAGCCACGCAGAGATGAACGAGCGTCTGTGCAATCACCTGGGTGGTGTGCAGCCACAGTGCTGACCCACGAGAGGCACCGATTCAGTCTCCATAAGGAAGGGACCAGTTTTCCTTGTGCCCTAACACCCAAAGCAATTTTTCCTTTCCTCTGTAAGAAAATCCAGTTTAAGACCCAATTCCCATTGGCCCAATGTCTTTTTTAACAGCATTATAGAGGGAAAAGAAAACTAAACCCCTTTTCAATTCAGGTCAAAGATCAACCTGGGGAAGTGGTTTTTGTAGATTTTAAAAGGAAAGCTTATATTCTGTGTTCCTAACATAATCCCCAAAGACCCAATGACACAAAAGATTTTTCTCTGTCATTTCATATCAACACCCTTAAAGACAATCTCTGCCATAAAGATTAAGATATGGCCTCTCAAAGTATTTTACCATACAAAGAGTCAAAATATCTTTAGGCATATTTTTTATTTAAAAAAATTAATTCCTAAAACATAAGACCTAACACACTAAGCCAGAGTCTCCACATCAAGCATCCACCTGTACTGAGTATTTGCTTGTGCTGCAGCTCATTCCTCTCCTGACTGGTAATTATACATCCTGCGGAGGCCTAAAAATTATTCACCAATATAAAAGAAGACAGGACAGAAGAGAGGGAAAGTCTAGGTTTCATTCACACCTTTGCCAATCAGTCACTACAAGACTTTGGCAAGAACAGCCTCAGTTTCTCTGAGGACAAAAAATGCTTATCAATGTTTCAGGTAAAAGTCGGTTCTGTGAGGGTAAAGAATAATGCCTTTTTCAAAAAACAGAACCAATTTGGGGGGACGGTATAGCTCAGTGGCAGAGTGCATGCCTAGCATGCATAAGGTCCTGGGTTCAATCCTCAGTGACTCCATTAAAGATAAATAAATAAGACCCTAACTACCTCCCTCCCAAAATAATAAAAAAAAAATAAAAAGTTTTTAAAATATATAACCAATTTATGCAAGTATAAAACCTTGCAGGTTTTCTGAGCAAGTGTGTGAAATTATTTTATCTGGCAAGAGTCACATAAATCTTCCTAATTATTAACCCCACTATGAATAGAAGAAAATTTAAAGCTTACTCAGTCTTTCAAGGCTTCTTAAAATAACTGATATTTCTATATGCTAGGTCTTCCGCTGCATCCGAAGTAACAGTGTCTTTCATTGTGTGCAGTCATGTAAATTTATGGTGATTCAGTAATAAAAGGTACAGACACAAGCAAGACACAAAGTAGAGAACGTGACTTCCCTGGCTTCACAGGGTCCGAAGAGGCCACTAAAGAGGACGTCGTACCTTGGCTACAGCTGAGCTGTGGTGTATTTTTCCAATCACCGATGTCCCCTGTACTTTCCTCAGAACCTTCAAAAGACATGCTTTAGTCAAAGACCAGTGCCTCCCTCTCCTTGCTCTGGTGAGTTGTGTGAATATGGGTATAAAGGAGATAACTGGGGTTAAAAAAAAAAAATCATAGGAATCCTGTTAAGAATATAACAACTTCAGAATATCTGAAGGCCTATTGCCACACATAGTTTCAACAATAAATGGTAAACAGTTGAAAACCTAATTTTTTAAAAAACGTTTCTGTAAGGCATTTAAGTACACTAGGGGATTAAAAAGTGAGCTCCATTTGTGCCTAAGTTTGTTAAACTTTGATAGCTTAGTTTCCTTTACCAGGACAGACCTGGGGCACTATTTTTTGGAAAATGAAGGTATAATGTCCACTTGTGATGGAATCATGAATTTTCTATCCTCTATAACTCTGTCCTGGACTCACCCACACTGTTGTTGTTACATAAGGGAACTGGCTCATTTGTTCATTTTCTTTCCCAGCGTTTTCCTATGTCTGACTGGTTGCCAGGAGGGTAGGATTCAGAAGACTGAGATGAACACCAGGCAGCCCTGGCTGGGAAGGGAATGTGGCCAGAGGGAGGTTTAGTCAGAATCCTTTACAGTCACCAAGATGGGGTCTGGCGGGAACAAGCACTAAAGATGGAGAGAGAGGCTGCGGGAAAGATTCTGGAAGACAGACGAACAAGACTTGGCGCCTACCTGGATGGGGGCGCTGTCGGCATGAAGACTGCACGGAGCCCCCTGGGCTCTGGCTTTGGCTTTGTTAGTAGAGAACACAGAGGCAGTGGGTTTGGGGAGACATCCCAATGAGCTCCGCTCCTGTCCATGTTGAGGACAGCCAGGAGGATGTGTAAGTAACAGTATCTGGTAGACAGATGGACCAGCAGGCCTGGAGGTCAAGGCAGGAGATCTAGACTGGACACTAGCGGCCCAGATACGCACATACACAGACAGGAGGTGGCTGATGCCTTGGGAACAGAAACAGGAAAGTAAGTGAGGGGCAAAGGTGTGACACTGATACACCAACATTTCAGGTATAATGAAACTGAGCAATCCAGGCCAAGAAGGAGAAGGCAGCAGGTGAGGATGACGTCAGAGATGCCAAGGGGAGCAAGCACTCTCTCTTCAAGAAAGGAAGAGGTGGCCTCTGAGAATAACATGGGCTGAGATGTGTCTGCTGGAGCCGCAGCTCACAGCCAGATGTAAACACCAACGGGGTGCCAGCACTGACCCTCCAAAGTCAGCAAACAACTGAAAGATGTCTCAAGGTGAAACTTCAGTCTATGAGAACATATACTTCAAGTTACAATGTTTACTGCAAATACAGACCCTTTTAGGGCAAACACACTGAGTCAGTGGAGTTTTATTCCCACTGATACGATCAGGGAACTTTCAACAAAATCTTTTTTTAGTTTAGTCACAGCAATAATATCCGCGTCATTTATGACTGCAGATAAGCAGATCAAGTAAATCAAAACTACAGCAAAAACAAGAACCTGAAAAGCACTTTGCTGGGGTAAATTCAATAGGGGTTTGAGATTTGGTTTTATTTCCTTTTACAATGGGAATCACACCAAAAATGTTAAGTAAAATGAATCACCAATAATGAAGAAATAGGCCCCGTTTAGACATATCGAAAGGTTACTAAACTGCTCTACTGTTGACCTATTTGAGGTTATGCTAAAGTTCAATTTTAAACTCAATCTGCACTTATTTCACAACCAAAATGAGTTTCTTTGCATTCACACACAAACAAATGTACAGTATAGTATGAACTTACTATAGCAGGCTTGAGTGAATATCGTTTTATAAGTAGCCAGAAAATGATACTCTAAGAGAATTAGAAATACTCATTTCTGTAAATAAAGTCCTTACTTAACATTTGGGTCAAGTTTCTTTTTAAGGACTCGGGGATTTTAAAGGATTATAAACACGCTGCAAGTATAATTTTTTTCACAAGGACTTGGGAAAGAGCTCCTGAAACAGCCTTTTGAATGGAAGGTCATTTTACTACATTTACACTTTTGTTTTGCTGCCAACTAGTAACAAATTAATACTAAATCAATCTAGAGCAGCCCATACTTGTATTTAAAACTCTAGCATTTCTCCTTGTTATTTAAAATTAAAACATTCCAAAACTGCGAAAATACAGCAAGCCACGCTGTGCTTTGTCTGATGCATGAAATGTTCTGTCGCTGTCAGGAGTTAAAAACAAGCACTTCAAACAGAAAATAATCATTCAACATAATTACTTTCCAGAAGGAACAGACTTGTGTTTTGTTTTTGTTGGTAATGAGTGGTTATTTCTATTTGTTGGTCAGAAACAAGGTAAATAGGGGAAGAAAACAAAATTAAACCAAGTGTCTCCTCACTTTATCTTACATGCCTTGAATTTCATACAAAACACCTAAATATCTTTTGACTGATGCTCGACACTTAAATTATTTAATGAGAATAAAACAGCTGTCTGACGCTATCTAGATAAGACATATGAGCATTCAGGTTACCCTGGAAGGTTCAGCCTGCTGAGACTGGATTCAACAGGAAGAAATGAACATGCCTCATACCATGAGTGAGCCGCCTGACCCATTAGAGGGTCACAGTGTAGGAAGTAAGAGACACTCCTAAAAATGTGGTTTCCAACATAATGGGACAGACGCTAGACCACATGCAGGAGCCCAGCGACAACGTGTGCTAGAGAAGGCTGGTCCTGAGCAGAGGTCTGTTTTGTCCTGCTGGGCGCTTACAATCAGCTAAAAGTTCAGCCTGACGTGTTACACCTTCCCAGAAGAGTGATCAGATGTGCTGTGAGCTGGCTA